TCCTACTGCACATGCTGCAACCACTTGCTTCTGTGGATGTCTTCTGTGCTACACTGTGAGCATCCATGACTCTGTGCAGGGTAGGTGCTCTGGGTTCTGTTAACCGGGTAACAAGTGAATGCTCAGAGAGGCCTGTCAGATAAGGCTGAAGGACTAGGGAAGTATCTAACCCCCTGAGCCAGTGAAAAACAGGGCACTTTGTCTCTGGGACTTGACCACAGTGGCAGAAGGGGAAGAACTGAATTCATCACAAGAAAAAATTCAGGCAATCTATACATGTTCAAGTTTTATTACAAAGTATGATGGGCAGAAAATACGGTACTTCTTATACAGGAGGCTGAAACAGAATGAAAGGGGAACAATTAGGTTTAATGTACTAGGAAGCAGGAAATTAAGTCGTAGCTCTAATACTCTACTTTCAGGTGCCTCTGAAGTAGCCTTCAATGGAGACCTCCCACCGTGGTTTCACAGCACAGTGTTAACATGTCCCTACAAGCCCTGGCTGTGTACAATCAGTCCTGTGGAAATAATATTTCAAACAGAAAAAACGGTTACAGTACGATTCTCTAAGGGCCAGCTTCCTCTCCGCCTGACCATGGGATGCCATAAAACCTACAGGCGAGTGAGAATGCTTAAATATATAACAAGAAAGCAAATTCAGACATACGAGGCTAACGGGGACAAAAATGGATTGGCTAGAGCTCAGCATTTCAGAGAAGAAGAAATGTCCATCATCTACACTGGGGTTTATACAATCATGCTACAAACCCACACCCAGAGGGAGGGAGACGGGGACGGAAAGTCATTGACAGAGTGGGTCATACAATACACAAGACCCAAAGCAAAGGGTCATAGTGGGCGAAAGCAATTCAGAGCTCCAGCTCAGCGAGCATCACAGCATACTGTACACCACGAGCAACCCAAGTGAGAGCATTTCTTTTCAACAGTAGATTATCACAAGTTCATATTCACCAGCTTGTCCCAAGGAGGGTGTGTTTTCCAGCTGTTAACATTTATCTTCTTGAGTTCTGACTTTCTTTAGCTTACTCGCTTTTGGTTTGAGACACCAGTCCAAGCCTCTTTGGAAAGGCACCTGCATGTTTCCATAATTTAAAAAATAATACCCAGAAAGTGGCTGGAGATGACCTGGCTACACATTTGACTTTTACCATTAGCAGCACTAACAACTGTGGAAGGAGAAGAGGGCGCAGGTGGGCAAGGCTCTGTGATGAAAGACATGCTCAGTAGCTAGACCAGCCAGGTGAGAAGATGACTCTTTGAGAGCCTGGCCCAGGGCTCACAGTGACTGTTTCTACCAAGGGAAAACTTAAGTGCCAAGTACAAACTCCTGCCTTAAGCTGGAGTGCAGAGGCAGAGGCAGAGGCAGAGGCAGAGGCCGAGTCCTCGTCATGACTTCTAAGTCATAGCCTCCCCGACCCAAGCTTCCATGTTCTTGGACCGAGGAAAATGGAGGGGTGGCACTAGGCTGGTCCTCCCAGATGTCATGACAGCCTAGGGACTCAAGGCCCAGGCGACAGTGGGGAGAAAATTCTCCACTAGAAATGGAGTGGGAAGCTAAGGGGGACGAAAAGAGGAGGAGGAGGAAGATAGAGTTCAGCATGATCATTTACAACCTCTGCTGCTTCGGCTCAGTATAATTCTGCAACCAAGAAGAGCTGTCCCCTGGGATGGTCATGGGACTCTGCTGCATGGAGGGATCCCTCTGGTCTGGGCTGCTGCCCATGGTGACCCAGAGTTGCAGATGCCCAGGGAGGTCCAGGGAGGCAGTCTCACTCCACAGTCAGGCAATGGAGAGTCTAAATGCTTCCTCACCTCAGACCTTTACTGCCCTCTTCTACTAGTTCTCCTTTGAGCTAAATAAACACCATCAGTTCTCTCCCACATCTTCAAACTCCTTCTAAAACTTAAGCCATAATAACCATCAAATCTTCCAGCTTTCTGAGGGCCAATCCTAGTTCTGATGACAGATCCTCACACAGATATCAAATATCTTGCCTCTTCAAGTCCTAACTTGAGGGTAATTCCTCCCTGGCAGGAGAGGCTTCTGACTCTCCTAAGTGTAGATATTCAAGCCCTTGGATGACTGGCTCCATTCGCCAGCTCTCTGCTGGTGGAGACCTGAAGTCTAGTGCACGTGCTACCTCTCTCTACCTTTCCTCACAGCAGACCAGAATAGCAGAAAGGACCAAGAGCAAGTCAAAAGGCCACCCCAGCCGGGCCAAAGCCTAGTGACCCTTGTAGACCTAGTGAACCTAACACCTGCTCTTGTCACACTTGAGAATCCAGAACCATACGCTCATTCTGCCACTTTGACAAATAAAAGGAAGACGGGCTTTTGAAAACTATGAAAGATCTGCTTCTTGGGACATAGCTGGCTAAGAGGCTTCCTAAATTCTGAACCCACAGAAATCCAGTCCTCAGCCATGAGGCCACCTGGCCTGTGGAGCAGAGGGAGGATAGGAGAGCTGGGGCTGCTGAACAGCAGCAAGAGAGAGCGAGTGAGAGCGAGCGAGAGAGTCTGTCTTTCAGGAGGCGAGGGGCTTTCCCCCGGGTGATGGTAGAAGAACCACAGCTGCAAGGACGATAGGGATGGGAGGGGAGGGGGGTGGCCACGGGGGAAGGACAAAAAAACTATCAAAACTTGCCTGTTTCCCGAGTAGATCACTTCCTCATCCGAATACATTCTAATTACTATTATTGATTACTCTCTGCCCTCTTCCTACCCCAGGTTGTTCTGGGGCTCCAGTTGACAAATCTTCTCTCATTCAGATCAGGTGTAAGTGCTGGTCAGGAGAGGGACCGTAACTCAGAACTTAACCATGTGAATGCTGCCCTGGCAGGACCAGATCCTTCTAGCAGCACACTGAGCGTCATTTCAGACCCTTTTCACAGGAAGGAACTGACAGCTTCTTAGAGCGAGCAGCCATCCACTGAGAGCTGCTAGCCTGTAACCACTATCAACAACAAGTGAAAGCACAGAAGAGGGCTGACAAAGAACTGCCCATTTCACATTTCTAAACAACCCCAGGAAACCCAGTGGAAAATGCAGGAGAGCCGACCTTCAGCAGGATGGTCAGTGGAAGAAGTGCCAACATCAGAAAGAGAACGTAGAAAGGGAGACGGAAAAACATCCTGACTAAAAAAAGAACCTATTTCTTTGGAACAAGCTCCTGTGTGATAAAGCAAAGAGCTGTGACTTTTGGGTTACAAACTCCTTTGCTTCTGAAAAGGAAGAGCCAAACAAGAGAGTTTAAAGGCCCAGCAAAATGAAGTTAATCGTTTCGTTTCTCAGTGAGCTGCTGAGCCAAAATGGACAAAACTTGGCCTCAGTGGCTGCTACTCTCCTCACCTTACCTCACATAAGAAACTCAGGTCTTAGACACCTTCAAAGACTTGGCAGAGGCAAGCAACTTATCTCCCAGTCCTGCCCCATCCCTCAGTGCTTCCCAAACTGCCCCAAGGACTGATGTACCAGGACAATCACACACGCCTCCTGAAGGCAACTCATCCACATAACGGAAACACACACCTGCAGCCTGTAAACCAACACAGCCACCTGCAGCTCGGAGGCCAATACTGCTCAGAACTTATATGGCGGGGCTGGAGGGGCAGGGAAGGAGAGGGGTAGTGATGGTGTGGGCAGAGCTCTTTATTGGCTGACCCGGATCCACGAATCTTTTCTAGCTACCTATTTACTTGTCGGTCTGAGATCATCACAGCTGATAAGTCCCAACTCTAACAGGGATCTTGTTCTGAGTTTGTCATATAGACCTTGTACCACGCAAGTAGGACTCTCTCTTCAGAGCACTCAGCCCAAAGGGGGCCAATATTCTACGAGTCACATCACAGTAAAGTAAACAAAGAGCAATGCCTAACTTCAGCTCAGAGGTCATTCTTGCCACTCACTGAAAACAGGAAACGGAATGGCCTGGGGCTTATAGATTTGAGGAAAAAACAGGCTCTGAAATTATGTGCTGAAAATATATGCTCCAATCTCAGCTTTCCTGAAGCTAGTTCCCTCTAAGACCCACTCCAGGCAAGGCAACCAGCCGGTCTACCTCAGCTCCCACACATTGCCAAGGCGCTGAGCAGAGGTACTTCAGGGTGTAGCAGAAGGCAGCCTACGTCTGTTTTGGAGCCCAGAAGGCCCTTGAGAAGAGCCAGGATGAGAAAAGTGATGATGAGTTGGCCGACTTCAGAGCACCAAGGTGGTTTCAGACTCCCGGTCGGGTCCAATCCACTCAAGGCCCAGGGCCAGCTCCAGGCACTGAGGGGAGAGGGCAGTGCCAATCGGGAGGCAAAGGAAACAAGGAAGAAACCAGGGAGAGGTAAAGTCTTCTCATAAAAAAATTAGCCTGGTTGATAAAAAATATACAAAGGTACAATTTGTAAAGACACCAACAGGAGGAAGAAAGACAATCACAATTGGTATCTGTTCCCATTTAAGTGCTGACGGGGACATGGACAAGGACAGGACACACACTGTGTCTGGGGCAGCACACACGCAGACACCGCAGGCAGATGAGGGCAAGCAGAGTCAGTGTCTGATGCTCGCAGACACAACGACGACAGACACACCATATTTTTTTCCACAAATAACACGCACCTTCTACCTTTGCTGGCTAACTGCTCCCTCCTTCCCCCGCCCCCAAGTGTGTTTGTGAGTGCACTATACTCATTTTGTTTCCTTCCTTATGTTGCTGTTAAGTGCCATCAAGTTGGTTCTGACTCATAGTGACCCTGTATAGGGTTTCCAAGGAGCAGTTGGTGAGTTTGAACTGCCGACCTTACGGTTCAAACTGACCTTGTGGTCCAGTGCTTATTCTACAACGCTCCTCCTTCCTCACAGCAACATGTAAAAAAGAAAAGAAAACGGGTCTAGCCACGCTTAGGGAGATAGCTCCCAGTGGGGGAGAGGAGCTGCCATGCTGAAGGCTTGTGATACTTGCAAAAAAAGAGGCTACACAGACATTTTCCTGGAGGAACTAAGAAGAGGAAAGCAGAGGAAATCTTCACCCGCTGCCCTGGGCTGAGGAGGTGCCCCACAGCACTGAGTCCGGCCCAGAAAGCGATGGGGTGACTGGCCAGGAACTCCTAGAGCAGCTTCTGGAAACAGTGGGCACAAAGCAACGAAAGCCATACTGGCCACTGGAAACAGGTTTCTTCTTACTTTGGGGGTGGAGCAGAGGCGGGAACCACACGAGCCCCTGCCTCGCAGGCCTGGTGCCACCAGCACTACACTCTGAGGATCTCCAGGCAGTTGTTGTAGCAGATGGCAATCCAGTCAGGCTGCGTCGATGCCCACTGCACATTATTGATCTCTCCTTCAGCTGTGTAGGCCAGGATAGGGTCCTCGATGGCCCGGGGCATTTGCTGGATGTCCCAGATGAGAGCCTGATGGTCATCCGCTGGGGACAAAGAAGACTAGCAAGTGAGGTGACAATGCAGGCAATGAGGATAATGAACCCTAGGAAGTCCCAGTTTACAAAGCACTTGCTCACCAAAACCCTGGTGTGTTGGGGGGTCTTATTCCAAGACCCCATTTATAAACACGGAAACTGAGGTTCAGAATGTAAAGGCATTGGTCCAAAACCATACAGTCATGCAGCTAGTGGTGTGGGGGCAGAGCCAGGACTCAGATCTGGGCCTCTGACTCCATGCCCCAGGATTCACTGCAACAGGACGGCCACACTATGGTGGGAAGTGCTAGGCAACTTGCCTCTGTAATCAGCAAAGGACAATGGCATCAAAACAGGCCCTCAAAGATGGCACGGCAACCACTTCAAACCCTTGAGGAAAGATCTTTCTCTCTCTAGCTCTCTCTGATGAGTCAATTTAATGTGGAGTTCGTTTTCTTTTTCCTGTTTCATAGATATTTGTCCTTCAACTATATACAGATAGTTGAGATAACATATAGTATGGAAAAGTGTTATTAAAACAATTTCCCCCCTCAAGAAAAGGGCTATGGGAAACACAAGAAGGAAGCTATTCACCTTAAAAATACATTTAAGCCAAATATGCATATATATACATACATATTATGTATGTACATGCTGTTAAGTGCCTGTTGAGTTGGTTTTGACCCATAGCGACCCTGTAAAGGGTTTCTGAGGAGTAACTGGTGAGTTTGAATCACCAACCTTGTGATTCAAACTTTTTGGCAAGTATCACCTCGTGGTTCAAACTGACTTTGCAGTCCAGCACATTAGCCCACAGTGCCACACCAAGACTCTCTCTCTCTATATATATATTGTTGTTGTTAAGTGCCAGTCTAGTCGATTCCAACCCATTGTTGCTGTTATGTGCCATGGAGTCGGTTCTGACTCATAGCGACCCTGTACAGGGTTTCCGAGACCGTAAATCTTTACGGGAGCAGAAAGCCTCATCTTTCTCCCACGAACAGCTGGTACTTTCAAACTGCTGACCTTGCAGTTCCTAGCCCAATTCGTAACCACTACACTACCACAGCTCCTTGATTCCCACCCATAGTGACCCTGTATAGGGTGTCCGAGGAGCAGCTGGTGAGCTTGAACTGCTGACCTTGCAGTTCAAATGGCTTTGCAGTCTGACGCATTAACCCACAGTGCTACACCAGCACTCTTCTCTCTCTCTCTATATATATAAATGAGACTTCTGGAAATATTAGCGTGGCAAGGCTAAGTGTTATTGTTTTCTTTCTCTAGTTTATAAATGATCTGTAATGGAATCATGTTATATTTATAATCAAAATAATAAATCTTGATTTAAAAGGAAAAAGAAATGGAGACAACAGACCTTAGAGCCACAGTGTCCCCCAATTCACTTGCTCACCCTAGAACCCAAAAGGCAGACAAGCTGTGGGCTACACCGTCCTCCTGCTAAGGCTGCCCCGCTTGAGCAAGTGTGCTATCCTCCTTCTGGGATACCCTGTGTCTAAAGAGTTCCCTGGAACGGTTTTAAGTACTCAGCACCTGGACAGCAATACGCTCCTTCTCCTCAGCCCTAAGCCAAGCACTAGCTTCAGCCCCACTACCTTCCACAGGTGTGACTCGAGGCAGGTGCGGCACCCAGGTAGCCAGCAGAGCCAGGCAGAGGCGGCCAGGATAGGACATGGGTCCGCTCTCTGTGAGTCTTGATGGCACCTTTTTTTCCCTCTCTCACCCCCCCCTAACCATATGCCCACCCCCCAAAAAGGGGGCAATGACAGTCAGACCACAGCCTCAGGTATAGAAAAATGCAATAAAAGTCCCCCAACTGCTCTTCCATGACACATGAAGGCATGAGCAGAGGGCCCTGAACATGAATGGAAGCCTAGGTGTGTACGAGAGAGATTCACACATTGGGGTGTGTGTGTGTGTACACACAGGAAAAAGAGAACACTCTGGGGCCAGAGTAGAAGCCTATGTATGTACGAGAAAGAGAGAGTAACATACTGGGGGGTGGGGTGTGTGCATGCACATGTATATGTAGGAAAAGGAACACTCATGTTGTCAGAGGTCACCTAGAGGTCACAGGAGTGAGGCAAAAGTGGACAGAAAAGAGGATGACTTTTACTTTATTTTATGACCTCTGTGAATTTTCATTTTCAATAGGACATTATTTTAGAATAGAACACAGTGGTGACTTAGAACACAGTGGTGACTAGTTCTATGAGGCATTCTTTTTGGTTTGGAAAATACCGTGAAATGGAAATTATAAGTCCCATCCTCCTGGCTGGAGAGGACTATGTGGGCTCTCAAAGTGTCCTAGGGAATAAGGATGGATTATAGTTCTAAGGTGTTAAGAGTGGCTTATCTCTTACCTCCACCCAGCTCTCCCTGACTCCCCCCACCCCCCACCACTCCCAGTCCCCACACACACTGGTGGTTTTACCTGCAGTACAGATGTGGCAAGAGGAATGTGGAGCCCAAGCAATGCCATTGACACATGCTCGGTGGTTATTTAACCTGGCGACAGGTGTGCAGGGAACTCGGACATCCAAGATCACCACCTGCAGAAAGAACAGGTCAAAGGCCAAGGATATTTCAGTGTGTAATGGAAAAACAAAACAAAACAAAACACAACATACTACACAAGGAAAATATTTTTTAAAGGAGAATCTTTCCACTTAGTGTTACTGTCCAAGTCATGTGAGGTACACATGTGAGGAGTTTGGAAGGTCCACTGTGCGTTACTCCCCAAGTGCTATTAGGGACATGTGGTAAGAATTCTGGGTATGCTTAGCTGAGCAAAATGAAGACCCCATTCCCCAGATACAGAATAGGATGTGTAGAAAGTCTGAAGTGCTGGCTTCATGAGAACAAAGTTAATCATGGCATTATTTCCATCTCCACCCACAATTTACCACTTTCATTAAGTGATAGCTGCAGAGGGTCACCATTTCTGCTTGTTGAAGTTGGAAATATCTGCCCAGACTACAGAAGGGGAAACTGCCTGCTCTCTACTCAGAAGCACATATGATTTGAGTGTCCTGATTTTAGCACACTATCTTCAGATAGTGAATCACTTTCTTAGCTCTGGTTCTTTCTCTCTATTAAAGGTTCTTAAGACATATGAGGGGGCTACAAAAAGTGCATGGAAAAATGAAATGAAGAGATAATGGAATTTTTTCCATGACCTTTTAGAAGCCCCTTAGTCCATGTTTTAGACCAGGCTTTCTTAATCTTGGTACTCTTGACATATGGACAGGATCATTCTTTGTTGTGGGGGCCGTCCTGTGCACAGGATGTTTACCAGCCTCTACCCACTAGATATCAAAATGTCTCCACACATTGCTAAATGTACCCCAGTTGAGAATTCCTGGGCTTGTGCTAGCCTGAAGAGGCGGCTCACCTCCATTCCATCCATGGCCATAGTGGCCAGGTAGTTAGGGTCCTGCTTATTCCAGCAGAGACGCAGCAGCGGATGATGCTGTGGGTCTTCATAAATGATGGTGCTATGTTCTAGATGGCGGAGGTCAAACATCCGAACGGAGCCATCAGCGCCCACGGAGGCAAACATGTCCCTGCCACCCCCGGCGCGGCTAAATGCAATGTCATAGACCTGTGAAGGAAGAAGCAGCTTCCGTCAGATTCAGGTTCATCATCCCCTTGCCCTGTAGCAAGGGAACCAGCCAGCTCCAGTTCATTTCAATCCCAGCGCATCACACAGGAGAAAGCAAATGAAATCCAAACGGTATCTGCAGGCACTGGAACCCGAGAGCTCTTGTATCAGCTGACTTTCCAGAATGTAGAGCACCCTGCTCTACAAGTAGGTGGGTTTCTTCCCACATTCCTGATTTCCAAGTCTTCTGCCTCCAATCCCCGTGATAAAATCAGGACACATGCCCCATTGTCCAACTGAGCACAAGTAATTCTGAGTAAGTGTTCTGTCTGTTTGGATTAGAGGCAGGTCCACGACCCTGTGAAGGCTGGCTTCATCTGTGTGAGAGACAGAAGCCCCTCTCCTGTGCTAGTGCTCTTGTGGAGGCCACATTGTTTCTGCTGTCAAACCTGGGCCCGAGACTCACTTGTATGAAAGCAACAATAGTGTAGAATCACCAAGGGCTGAGAGGTTCCTATATTCACAAGTAGGTTTATCTTCACTCTCTTGGTTCTGGGGCATGCTGTTTCTTCTTCCAGATTTTATATTCAAGTGACTCAAGTGAGGTTTGGAATGACTGTTTTCTGCATTTATTATTTGCTGCAAACACGGTACACCTTTAACATCTATGAGAAAACAGGTACAGAGCAACGAAGAGCTGCAGAGAAAGAATGGGACCGAGAAATACAAAGCTAGCGATAAATAAGCAGAAGGAGCTCTGGTAGCGTAGTGGTTATGAGACAGACAGCTAACCTCAAGGTCAGCAGTTCGAAACTACCAGCTGCTTTGCAGGAGAAAGATGAGGCTTTCTGCTCCTGTAAAGATTTACAGCCTCAGAAATCTGTACAGGGTCGCTATGAGTCGGAACTGACTCCATGGCATATCACCACCACCACAAACAAGCAGAGCAAGAGTCAGACACAAACAGAAATAACTGCTGAACAAAGCTTGTCTTCTGGGGCCAAAGATAAGATGACAGGTGGCTTCTCGGGAGACATGACTGAAGCAACAGACTGTGGCTCCGGCCTTCTTGTGGTCCTGCCCTCTCAGGAACACTGCAAATGAGCATGTATTTCTAGTCAACCTTACAAACTCCTTTTCTTCCTGGCTGATGTCGAAGGAATTGCACTGCTCTTCCTGTGGTAGGAATTGGGGGATTTAAAAGAGCACCTTGGTTTGTTGGTTGATTATGTGCCATGGAGTCAGTTCCAATTTGTAGTGACCCTGTATAGGGTTTCCGAAGCTCTAAATCTTTACAGGAGCAGAAAGCCTCATCTTTTTCCCCAAGAATGGCTGGCAGTTTTGATCTGCTGACCTTGAGGTTAGCAGCTCAACTCTTAAACGCAATGGTACACCTCAAAGTGCCAGGCATATTGCAGGTGCGAACAGATTTTCCTATGTGGCAAACCAATGAATATGCAAATGCGGAGCTTTCAGCACTTCCTGCTGTGCATAACCGCCTTGTATTATGATTTTTCACGTCATTTGCAAAGCAGTGGTGGACAGTCTGCCCTCTCACACTGAAGGCACAGAAAGCATCTGAGGAGAGCCGAAACAGCAGAGTGCCCTTACCTCTTTGTCATGGGCGATCAGCTGGGTCTTCACATGACCAGACACAAGGTTCACTCGTCCCAGCACCTGCCCCGTCTCCAGTCCCCAGATGGTACAAGTTGTGTCAATGCTTGAAGTACCTGAAAGCAACCAGTGCACATCAGTGGCTGGTGGGAGGGAGCTTCCCAGGCAGGCTTTCCCCCTTGTGCATACTCATCTGTCCTGCTGAGGAGACAAGAAGCCCACAAACACCTGAGTGTAGGGAGAGTACTGAGAGACTCACAAAAATAGTCAAGCATTCAATCTGCTCAACTGAGACTTTCTGCGTGGAGACCAAGGTGTACACACATGGAAAGCTCAGCTCCCTTAGAGGAGTTAACAGCCACCATGGCCTATTCAGCCTGCTATTCTCCACTTGGTCCTGTCTAGGATGATTCCCGTACTTCAGGTCAGTGGTTATAACACATCTCCCCTGACTTCCTTACCTAAAAGATAAGGATCCACCTCATTCCAGTCGAAGGAGGTCAGAGGAGCACAGAAGTCAGAGTTCTTGTTATTGTTTAGCAGACATTCCAGCCTGGTCTCTGTTTCACCAACCTGAAGAAACAACATTTACAAGGTCAGGCAGGCATATCCTCACAGAAGGTCTTTAAAGCGCTGTCTAGGTTGTATTTCAGTTAACTGAATACATGCGAGGGCTGGAAGTGGAGGTGGTGGTGTGTTGCCGTTGTCAAGTTGGTTCCGACTCACAGCTACCCCATATAGGATTTCTCAGCAGTAGCTGGTAGGTTTGAACCACTGACCTTGTGGTTAGCAGTCCAGTGCTCATCCTATAGCACCATCCCAGGCGGTATGAATAGGAAATCCTGAGGAATACCCTGAATGCTGCTCCTTTCAAACCTTTGCCTCTGCCCAACGCTCCCCCCATATTTCCATCCCCAAATCTATAGAAGAGCTCTCATCTCGCCCACCCTGGACTCTATGCTCCTTGCCTGTCTGGACATGACACTCACATATTATTAGAATCAGTGGCTCAGGATTTTGTTTAATTTGTTCAAAAACATCTTGGCTACAAACAGAAGAAGTCTCAAAATTCCCACCCCTATGGTGGACTATCATTGGGGTTCACTGGGCCCCTGGTTCCCGGGTGACTCTGCAACCAGCAGCATGATTCCAAAGAACCTGGGCGAGACGCACTAGAAAATCTGCTGAGCCAAACCAGGTCAGTGCAGGTACACCACCACTTGTTCTACTGGGCTGCCTTTGACCCCGGTCCCCTCTTCACGACACCAGGAACACTGAGAAAGCCCAATGGTCTGGTTGCTGACCAGGCTTACCCGCCACACACGCAGATAGTCGCCACTTGTTGCCAGGAGGTCTGGATAGACACCTTTTGTGTCTGGGATCCACATGAGCTTTGTGGTGGGGTACGGATGGTCAAAGGTGTTTCGGCAAATAAACTCTGAACTCTCTTCATCTAAGCCAACAAGCTGGACCTGAAACATAACAAAGTTGAGCCACATAAACATTTTGTTTCCCTGGATAGTATCAAATACAGTTGATTCTCATCATTTATGATGGTTATTTTTAATAGAAACAGTGTGAACACTGGATTAGTAAATATTGAGCTGCTGCTACTTAGGGAAAATACAGGGTTAGGTTCCTTCAAGCTGGTCCTAATGTCAAGCGATCAATACATAACCTTGTTTTGTATATGAAAGATACCTTATTTAATATACACACATATTTCTTGCAAATAATTAAAACACTAGCAAAAAAAAGACAAATGCTTTCCTAGCCTAGGGTCACGATTACATATTTCTTTGGCTTTTAGTCTCACAACAATACTGTCCACCGTGGTGATGTTGTTTTAACTGGTCATCATCTCATGAATCCACAAATCTCTTGCATCACTATGCCTTTATATATACACACTAACTCCTTAAGATAAAGTCTATTAGATGCTGTTTAGTCAGTTCCAACTCCTAGAGACCCCATACACAAATGACCAAAACACTGCCCCGGTCCCGGGCCTTCCTCACAATTGTTATGTTACTGTGTCAATCCATCTCACAGAGGGTCTTCCTCTTCTTTGCTGACCCTTGACTTTGACCAAGCATGATGTCCTTTACAGGGAGAAGGGATATGTTACTGAAATCATGTATCTCTTACGGCTTCTACACACATTTTTATAACATCCACTCAGGACCATTAAATGGAAAAACATACCATCATCCAGAGCGCCCAGTTTATTAGGACAAACTGTGAAAGGATAACCAAATCAAAGGCTGCAAGAGCTTCTGACAGACTTCTAGTACCCTGAAGAAAGTACAGAGTTTCTGTGGAATACCGTAGGGTATGCCTAATTCTTCTACACATCATCCTGAATCTGGATGAAGGACTACAGATAGGGGTGCGTTCATAGTACATACTATGGTTAAGAAAGATGCCAGATAAAATCTCACATATCACACAGGAAAGTAATCTTTGTTGTCCAGTGTAGTGTGCATTTCTCTGACCCCAAATTCATCTCTTTCCAAAACGGGTTGTTTTTATCAACAATTCAAGATTCCACACTCATGTAAGAAAGTCCTGTTCCACCTGGATGCAAGTTTCACTTCTAAATTCTTCATGTGTTTTCACAGACCTGTGCTCCATCCTCAGCTAAAATGACAACATATAGTTGTATCAAATTGCCAATTGATTTCTTAATTTTTGTTCATATACTCAGATGTTTAAATTTAATAACCAAAGAAAATGTAGCTCTTTGTGAATATTCATTCATGTAAAACAACAGGTGAAGTCTGCCATGAACCTCATCTGCAATTCTACTTTCTGGTCCCCAAACCACTGTTTGATGCTTATCTTTCCAAACATTTATACACACATGCATGGTGTTAAGTACCATTGAGTCAGCTCCAACTCATAGCGACCCCACATAGGGTTTCCGAGGTTATGAATCTTTGCAGGAGCAAAAGCCTCATCTTTCTTCCATGGGATGACTTGAGGGCTCAAACTGCCAACCATGTAGATTGCAGGACAGTGCTTATCCTATGGAGTCACATCGCTCCTCTGCATGTGCATGCTGCTGTTAAGTGCTTGTCAAGTCAGTTCCGACTCACAGTGACCCTGTGTAGGGTTTCCGAGGAGCAGCTGGTCAGTTTGAATTGCTGACCTTGTGGTTCAAATCAATTTTTCAGTCCAGTGCATTAACACACAGCGTCACACCAGAACTTAAGAAATATATTACATATGTGTTTCTGTATAAATGTACACACACAGACACATATACATAAACATACTTAGAACATACAATTTATTCTGCAACATGCTTTTTCTTAATAGATCTTACTGTGTCAATACAAAAAAGTATTACTGTTATTCAGATCAGTATGCTATTATTAATGCCCATCAGACTGAGCAGAGAGAGGCCTGCCTGAGGCTGTCCTGATTGGAAGAACTGCCCTGAATATTCTGACCCTGAATTGTAAATTGTTAACTTCCCTAATAAACCCCCAAACCAGAGTATGGTGTTTAAGTTCTGTGTGGCCATTGCAATGAGGTTTCCAACCCAGCTGAGTAGAGTGCTGTGGGAAGGATGGTTTGGTGCCACCTTTTCACACCAATTATGCTTAAGTTGTTGCTGTTAGGTGTCATTGAGTTGGTTCTGACTCATAGTGACCCTCTGCACAACAGAAACAAACTGTCCAGTCATGCACCATTCTCACAACTGTTAATGTTTGAACCCATCATTGCTGCCACTGCGTCAACCCTTCTTGTTAAAGGCATTCCTCTTTTTCACTGACCCTTCAGTCTTCCAAGCATGATTTTCTGCTCCAGGGACTGGTTGGTGCTTTCTGACAACAAGTCCAAAGAAGACAGACGAAGCATTCTGGCAGTAATTTTTCCCAAGGCAGATGTGCTTTTTCTTTGGGCAGTCCATGGTACTTTCAATATTCGACTCCAACACCATAATTCAAATGCATTGATTCTTTTAAGGTCTTCCTTATTAACTGTCCAACTTTTACATGCACATGAGGCAACTAACTATACCATCATAGAGTCCTGGTGTGAGCACTGTAGGATAGGCAATGGACCACAGGTAGGTTGAAACCGCAAGGTCAGCAGTTCAACCTTACCACTCATGCCTCGGGAACCCTATATAAAATCGCTATGAGTCGGAAACGACTTGATGGCACTTACTAATAACAACAAAAATACCATGGCTTGGTTCAGCTTCACCTTAGTCCTCAAAGTGACATATTTTGCTCTTTAATACTTTAAAGAGGTCTTCTGCAACAGATTTGCCTAGTGCAACAGGTCATTTAATTTCTTGATTCCTGTTTCCATGAGCAATGATTGTGGATCTAAATAAAATGGAATCTTTGGCAATTTCAATCTTTTCTCCATTTGTCATGATATTTATTGGTCCAGTTGTGAAGATTTTTGCCGTCTTGACATTGAGGTGCAATTCAATTTTAAGGCTGTGGTCTCTGATCTTCATCAGTAAGTTATTTCAAGTTCCTTTGCTTCCAGCAAACAAGGTTGTATTATCATACTGTGGGTTGTTAATGAGTCTTCCTCCAATTCTGATGCCACAGTCCTCTTCATATCCAGTTTCTTGGATAAGATTGAATAAGAATGAGGTACAACCCTGAAACACACCTTTCCAGATGATTTTAAATCATTGAGTACCCACTTATACTGTTTCAAAGACTGCCTCTTGATCTATGTTCTTCATAAGTACAATTAAGTGGTCTGGAATACCCATTCTTTGCTATGTTATCCATAGCTTGTCATGATCCACACAGTTGAAAGGCTTTAGCATAGTCAATAAAGCACAAGTAAACGTCTTTCTGATGATATTCTCTGCTTTTAGCCAAAATCCACCTGATGTCAGCAATGATATCCCTTATCCTACGTTCTCTTCTGAGTCCAGTTTGAATTTGTTGATGTACTGTTGCAGTTGTTTTTGAGTTATCTTCAGCAAAACTTGAATATGATATATTGCCCAATGACTTCTACATTCCACTGGTTCAACTCTCCTTAGAACAGGCACAAATAGGTAGCTGTCTTCCAAATTTTCTGGCATAGATGAGTGAGTTCCTACATGCTGTATTAGTTTGTTGAAACGTTTCCATTTCTATCCCATCAATTCCTGGTGTCTTGTCTTTCACCAAGGCCTTCAGTGCAGCTTGGACTTCTTCCTTCAGTATCATTGGTTCTTGATCATATGCTACCTCTTGACATGGTTGAATATAAGCCAATTCTTTTTGGTACAGTGACTCTGTATTTCTTCTACCTTCTTTCGATGCTTTCTGCATCATTCAATATTTTGCCCTTAGAATCCTTCAGTACTGCAAGTTAAGGTTTGAATTTTTTTCCCTTCAGTTCTTTCAGCCTGAGAAATGCTGAGTATGTTCTTCCCTTTTGGTTTTCTAACTCCAGCTCTTTGTGCCACTTGACTTTGTCTTCTCGAGATGCCCTTTGAAAGTTTCTGTTCAGCTCCTTTTACTTCATTTCTCCAGTCGCTTAGTTTCTCTATGCCCAAGGGAAAGCTTCAGAGTCTCTTCTGACATTCATTTTGGTCTTTTCTTCCTTTCCTGTCTTCTTAATGGCTTTTGGCTTTCTTTACGCATGATGTTCTTGATGTCATGCCACAATTCCTCTTTCAATTATTAGTGTCCAATGTATCAAGTCTATTTCTGAGATGGTCTCTAACTCAGGTGGGATATACTCAAGGTCATATTTTGGCTCTTGTGGACTTGTTTTAATTTTCTTCAGCTTTTGCCTGAGTTTACATATGAGCAGCTGATGGTCTGTCCCACAGACCTGGCCTGGTTTAGGCTGATGATATGGAGCTTTTCCATCGTCTTTTCCTGCAGATACAGTTGATTTGATTCCTGTGTAGTCCATCTGGTGAGGTCCATGTCTATGGTTCCCTTTAATGTTGATGGAAAAAAGTACTTGCAATGAATAATTCATTGGTCTTGCAAAATTCTATCATGTAATCTCTAACATCATTTTTATCTCCAAGATCATATTTTCTAGTTCAACTAGTTCTTTGTTTCCAATTTTTGCATTCCAATCACCAATAATTATTAATGAATCTTGATTGCATGCCTGATCAATTTCAGACAAAGAAGTGGTAGGATTTTTCAATTTCTTCATCATTGGCATTAGTGGTTGAATTTGAATAATAATATTAAGTGGTTTTCCTGGTAGGAATAGATGCTACCCTATCACAGGCAGCACTATATGTTAAGACAGATCTTGAGATGATGCTTTTTTTTACACGATGAATGCAAGGCCACTCTTCTTCAACTTGTAATTCCCAACACAGAAAACCAAATGATTGTCTGATTCAAAACAGCCAGTTCTGGTTCTTTCAGCTCATTGCCTAGGACACTGATCTTCACACATTCCATTTCATTTCTGACAACTTTCAATTTTTCCAGATTCATACTGTGCATATTCTATGTTCCAATTATTAATG